GTGGGAGATCTCCAGGCCCCACCTGGAGGCTGGCAACCCTAGCCTAGCCTTTATTCCTGAAGGTAACTTGTCGCTTCCTCAGACCAGAAGAGATTGTTCTGCCTTTCTTTTGCCCCAATACCAAACATCTGCAGGGAGTGGAGGGGCATAACTTGGATGTCCAGAGGACCTTGAGTTTTTAATATTCATAGGACTTAGGCCATGATGAGATCTGACTCCCTTTTTGTCTCCCTCATTCTATGGGTTCTGGTGCTGTGGTGTCCACCCTAGGAAAGTGAGTCTGGGGGTTGTGTTGCTCTGGCCTAAAAAGCTGGTGGGTGGAGGGAATCATGACTAATTTCTTTAAGGGAATAGCTACCTCTGAGGCACTTAGGGCATTTCCTTCCTTAGAGGGGGCCTGCTGGGCAACTGTGTGGAAGTCAGTGCAAACCTTTACCCAGCCCTACTACCTTGACAAGGAGGCCTGCACTAATGCCTCCTTTGGAAGGAGGGTCATCCAACAAGCTCTGACAGGTTGGTTTTCAAGTAGCCCACCTTGGGATACACGGCTTTTGTACATCCCATTGGTTGTGATTCCCCCACCCTGGACCACTGGAGAATGGGAAGTTTGTTCAGTTACAGTGAAGTGCCTTTCTTGATGGTCCTAGGGTGGGGCAGTCAATCCCGCCCTACTCTCAGAGTCCCAGGGAGACAATCTTGGAGCATGGACTCCCCTCTGCCATTTTCTTGCTGTTTCTATTAATTATGGGCTGTTGGAGTTAGTGTGTTCTTATAGTTATTGGGAGTTGTACAGCTTCTGGACTGGTCTTGGAGATGGAGAGAAGCCCCTCCCACGAGGAGTAATCAAAAAGTGAACTGCCTTGACTGCCTTCAGGGAGGAGCTTCTTCCCATTGGTTGTGACTGCCCTACCCCTAGGATCACTGAGAGAAAGAACTTGATGGTCAGTGAACAAACTTTCCAGTCTCCCTCCAAATACTGCAACTTGGGGTCATGTGATCAAAATTTCATTAGCACATTACAGATAAGAAGAACACAATCTTTCTTCATGCAAGGCTTACTTAATGTACTGAATTTATTGCCACAAGATAGGGTAGTGGCCACTAGCAGAGAAAATGGTCTTAAGGAGGCTGAACAGATTCATGGAGGGAAGCCTTATCAACGGCTATTAATCATAATAGCTACAAATGGAGTATCCATATTCAGTCCTGTCAGCTTCCTGGTCCTTGATTGAGAGTAACTGTATTAGACAGACCTTTGCATTAATCCTGCAAAAAGCAATCTTCATTTTGTCCTCACCGTCTCCCCAGGGGACTTCATGCATGGGGACCCGAAGTGGAGAGGGCACACGCTCTGGACCTTTGCTGCCCTCTCCCACTTCAGCTTAGTGTAAAGGAGGAAAGCTGTCAAAAGGCCTCCTAAGAGTAGGAGGTGGGGCTATGGTGGCTCAGAGGTTAAGATACCGAGCTGCAGGCCAGAAGGTCTGTAGTTCGGCTGGCCCCAGCTCCTGCCAACCCAGCAGTTCGAAAGCAAGAAATTGCGAGTAGATAAATAGGTACCACTTCAGTGGGAAGGTAGTAGTGTTCCGTGTGCCTTGGCATTTAGTCATGCCGGCCACATGACTACAGAGATGTCTTCGGACAGCACTGGCTCTTCAGCTTGGAAACAGAGATGAGCACTGCTCTCTAGAGTCTGATTCGACTGGCTTTCGAGCAAGGGAAACCTTTACCTTACCTTTACTAAGAGTAGGAATGGTTTGACGCAGAATTCTTGCTGCTGTCACTCCTGGTGGGGGTGCTGATTCTCTGTTTCTGCATCACCATCTTTAAAACCATTCCCAGCCAAAGGTGGACATAGTCTGTGTAGTGTATTCAAAAAAAGGTTACGGAATCGGCTCATTGACTCTCCATGTTAAGCTTCGAGCCAGAAGAAGCTCCTCCGAGCTAACATCCTATTGGTTGCTCCACAACCGTGACCTATCAGAACTATGCCTAGTCCCTGAGAGGGAAGAACTCTCATTGGTTGTTATCCGCACAACCTCATTGGTTGCTTGTTGTAAATAGGCGTGGCTACAGTAACCCGGGAGTGTTTAAAAGGAACCTAGCTCCTGCTTGTGTTCTGTTCTGGTTATGACTTATTTAAGCGCTTGTTCGTACCTACAATAAAGCTAATCTCATTGCTGAAATCACCCTCCTACAATTTGTTAGCGGCGATCTAACAGTCTGGCTTGCAGATTACATGTGCACCAAACCACGGGCCACTGTCAGATCCTATTCCGGGTGTCCATGGCTGAACACGGGCTTGACTGTGATTCTCCCCAAGCACTGGTCTGCTCTGCTGCCAATGGCCCGCTGAGGTTGTGTGCCAGGGTCTTTGCCGTCTTGCTACCCAAGGTCCTCCTATGCGTGGATGGGACAAAGCATCTGCCTTGTCACTGAGCCGGGCTCCACAGTGATGTACCACGGCATGCACACTTCTTGCAATATTTGAACCTTCCTTTGAACTCTGGCTTTGTGAGGTTCTTCTTCTTCTTTTTGGATTTCCCTTTTAAAAATCCAGTGTAGCCTGAGTGACATTTCATTTAGTTGACAGATCCACAATTATTCCCTCAGCAGTCATTTGTCTAGATTATAAAGCAAATGGTACAATATGAAATTACAGAGATGAATGAATGACCTATCTGTGCCAACTGGCTTATCTCTGCACTTCTCAAAGCACCTTTCTAACAAAAGCCGCAACACTGAGATGGAATCCCGATTCCAACATTTCTTTAAACGCAATCGAACGGCTGTCAAACATTGTCATTCTTGCTCTTGCCACTTGAGTCAAGAGGTGACCTTGAAGAGAAACTTGTTGCACTCTCTTAGCACATTCTTAAGAGCTTTGCCATATAGCTTCATTACCTCGGAGCAAATCTTAGTGCCGTTCTTAGTTAAAGCCCCCAACTGGTCCCTCATGGATGCTTTGAGAATTCTTACAGGATACATAAAAAGTAGGATTTATGTGGCAGTGCTTGATCAGTGTACCTTTGGCTACAAACAGAACCTGTTGCATTAGCATTTCCCAAAGAATTTCCCCCGTTTGACTGGCTGGCTATCCGAATGACCCCATGTTACTGATGACAAACTGTCTCCAAACACCACCCCCTCCTCACCTGACAGCCTCCTCTCTGTTACAGAATTTGGAATGCTCTCCAGGATCCTATCCCACCCCTTCTCCCCCACTGACCAGCCTGGTTACATACCTAAGCACCATCCTTCCTTCCCCTAGAAGATCAATATTCTTGTTTTTGAACTGTGAATGAGCCAAGAGTGATCTTCCTCTGCATGCTCCTGCTTGGCACTTCGGTTGACACAAAAATGTGTCCACGCTTGTCGTCCCCTTTTAGATTCAGTGCCTCATTTGGATCCCTGCCTCAGCACTGGGCTCCCCGTTGAACCTTCCCTGATAGGCAGCTGTAGCCATTCCTACCTTTCTCTTCTGCTGTCTTCAGCCTCCCGCCTCCCAATGTTGAGTGGAGTAACCTGCATAACGTTTGGATGCTTACAGCGATGAGCTCTTTAGTGTGTTTTTTTTTAATACCAGATACTGATAGTGAGTGCTTAACATTATTTAACTGCCTGAGATCCACTGATTCCCCAGCTGAGATATTTGTTTTATTTGCATTATTCCAAAAACTCTCATTGGTAAATTTTAAGTTTCGACTT